TAATTTCAGTCATATTAATATTAAAAACATAGAAATCAATTGTTCCGGTATAGAGCAAATAAGTAAACATAAAGAGTGTTAAGTAACTGTATGAGAAGGTTTGACTTGTTAACCATGTGGACAAATAAACAGCATTTTTGAGCACTAAACAAAGGACAGAAAATTTTCACATAGAAAGAACATTATTTAAAATAGGCATAAATTTCCTCAACTTCATAGAAGCAGAAATCCTATGGGAAATGTTTTCTAAGCACTGTGAAATGATAATAAACACCGTTGAACTATAACCAGCAAGTAATATCTAGATGCATCTAACTTTCCTTTAAAATTTTCTTTAGAGACAGGGTGTTGCTCTGTCACCTGGGCTGGAGTGTAATAATGCAATCATAGCTCATTGTAACCTTAACTCCTGGGCTCAAGTAATCCTCTGGTCTCAGCCTCCTTAATAGCTAGGACTACAGGTATGTGACACCATGATCAGCTGATTTTATAATTATATTTTTGTAGAGATGGGGTCTTTCTACGTTGTCCACAGTTTAAGGCTGGTCTTGAACTGGACTGAAGAAATCCTCTTGCCTCAGCTTCCCAAAGTGTTGGAATTACAGGTCTACGCCACCACACCTGGCCCTTTAAGATCATTTTCAATGTCTATTAGATTAAACAAAAAGTTCAAACTGAAATTACTTTTTTAAAAACTTTTACAGACTCAGAGACATGCCTAGGAAGAAGCATTGCAAATGGAGCAAAAGGACCTAAATTTATTTAGTTAATTTTACCAATACTACATTAATGTTACAGAAATGCTGGCCTATGCAGGTGTTATTTAATAAATCAGAGGATTATCACTTCAGATATTTGTGTAAAACATAAAAATATTTCCAAGTATTAAGACAATATTTACGCTCCACAAATAATTTGACCATATAGTATTATATATAACGGTTGTGGTATTCTATATAAAGAAATTGAGATTTCTTAGGAGACACCATTCTACACAAAATACCTATGTGAAATATTTTACTCCTGAATACAAGGTGGATATCTTATGTTTTAGAACACAATGGCATATACTGTCAAAGCTTGTTTTTTTTTTTTTTGAGACAGAGTCTTGCTGTGCTGCCCAGGCTAGAGTGCTGTGGCGTCAGCCTAGCTCACAGCAACCTCAAACTCCTGGGCTCAAGCGATCCTCCTGCCTCAGCCTCCC